TCCTATAATGAAATGGCCTTATAATGACTTGCATCTGGATAAACTGATGCTTTAGATGCTTTTAATAGATGCTTTTTGAGTTGTTCACCTGTCACCTTGGCAAGTTGCATCTTGCTTAGATGGGGCAGTAGTTACACACAGTGGGTAAAACTGTTTCTTTTGCTGAAACTTCTCAAAAGTTTGGAGTGAAGCTGAAGTAAAAGTTGTGACACTACACTTCAAAAATGAAAATGTGGAAATAATGTTGTGGGTATATGGTTGGATGGGTGGAGTATTAACTTGCCAGTACTCTTTATGACTGGGCTGCTGACATGGACAGAACCCCCTGGAGCAAAGTACAGCTTTTAACTAGATATGCTGCCCAATTTTGAAAAGGGCAGGCATCTGTTATTAGTGGCCTGCAGATGTGAAATTCTGTCAGGGGGAAAACAAGTCAATTCTCTAATGTGCTGTTTCTGGTTTTGCAACTTTGAAATAATTGCTGGTATAAGAGTTGAAACAGATACAAATGAGTGTGCTTTGGTGTTAGCAAATGGAGGGTATGTTAATCTCAGTGTGAAGAGTCTCAGTATGTTAATAATGATCAAATGAAATTGCACATTAATAACAATCATATGTCATATTGAATGTCCACAGCACTTTCTGCCCAGATGCTCTGAAATGCTTTATGAACTTTGGGAAATCACAACTAGATAAGGTAAGCAGCATTGTTCACCATAGACAGTGCGGGGGGAGAGTGAAATTAGGAATTGGTAAGACTTGACTCAGCTCACCAGATTTTCCTTGAGGAGAACTGGAATTTTGTCACTTGGTCTTGTGCAGTGATTTTTCTGTTCATTGATATTGCCAGACAGCAGGTCCCTTCTGGGTTAACTGCAGTTGAAGAACTGTAGCAAAACTTGCTAGTTCTGCCTACCATCTTTGATGCTAATGAGCAATTTCTTTATACAATTTTTGGCATTCAGGATGCCCTAAGAAGATAGCAAGTATTGTGTATTTCATAGAAGTAAGGTATGAAAAAATCTTAAGGTTGTTTTCTTAATTTGTGTCTATTTCAATTAACTTTTTTAACTGCACGTCTTGTCTCGTAAAATGATGAACGCTTTCCAATTTATTGGAACAGTTGTTCTATAAAAGAGCAATATGCTTGAGCAACTCCTTGTACTGATACATCATCATCAACCTTAGTAATGAGTGGGAGAGAGAGATAGGGATGCTTTTGGCTCCATTGAAAACATTTGTAGATTCTATCTGGAACAGATTTTATTAAAATTGCAACAAACTTTATAAAGCTCAGTATACGCTTCATTAAGGGAACATTACCTTACAATTATGATTAATTAGATTAAACTTATGAAAGTATGTTATTTGTTCAAATCAAAAGGGTGGTGGGGAAGAATGATGGATGATGAAAGAGTATGATAAATGAAGAAAGCAGCTGAACTAAATTGAATGTGTATTCATCCGTTTTCACTTCATAACTAATGATAAATTGAGCATGTCACATTTAACAATACATGTCTGAGCTTAAGCACAGTCCCAGCTCCTGTGCTCTAATGTCTTTTGTCAGGTAGCTGCATCCAGGGAATGTGATATTTTGTTTGGAGAAACCTACACAGTTCATTATCAATCTGTCCCTGCAATTGAAATCACAGATGAAAGCTCTTGCTTTCTTGAAATAAAACCACGGAAGTCTCAATTAGGACAGAGTTGTCTAGGAAGCACAGTCTGCCTGTGATGCGTTAATTTGACGTGAAAAGCGAATGATGTATTGAAAATTGTGCATTGTTGACAAGAATGCAGCTTGGGATAATGGCGAACTTGTATGAGCTTGCGAGGGTCAGAGTCTAACTCAGTGGCTTACAGTCCCTTGCAGCTACTTGTGGAAGGTGCTGTTTAGCATCAACTGAAATGTCAGAATTTGGTCCCAGATACTCGGGATTCTGCATGGGCAATGCCTAGGTGTGGAATAGTTTCTCAGACTTCTGAACTCATACCACATTTTCTTCTTGGCTAACCATTTTCTCTTTCTGCAGGTAATCTGGAAAACAGTCTTTCCAGTGGTAATCAGCAGTTCTGCTTCTCGCCTTGGTTGTGATAGATGTGAAGCAAGATGACAGCAGTGAGTGAGTACTGAGGATCTTAGTTTTGTTTTTACCAAAAACAAAGGAAAACACTTTGTTCTGGGATCACTAAAAGCTTTGGCCAACATTTCATACCAACAATGTTATTTTAGCTGACTTGGCTCTTCCATTCCTGTTCCAAAGCTATTTGAACATTCTAGCCAAAGTCAGTGTTGATGGATTGAGCTATACCGAGCTACACCACAAACAAATTTTGGGCAGCATTTCCAGAAATAGTTCAACTGTGATCCTGCAAATGCTTGTGTGCTGTAGACCACAGAACTGAGAAAAGGTTACTGTATAGTTTAAGACATAATGAAGATCAATTGCAGAAGGAACCAGATGCATGAAATAATGACCAAAAATACTCCAAAACCAAAATGGAAACAAATCCTTCATCTCTTTATGTGCTGAGCATGAAGGGACATGCTCTGATCGAGTAACGTTTAGATCCCCAGTTACAGTCACTGGCATAAATGTCATGTATAATCAGTAGCCAAGGGCTGCAGGTGAAGCGTAGTCTCATGTCTTTCTCTGGTAGTTAGAAGGGAGTTCCTTGTTGACTGTTTGCTATTGCTTTAAAGAGTGTAGAATCAGAGACCTTCTTTTATTCTCCATGCTGTTCTGTCCCCTCTATTGGCAGTAAAATTTCTTGACAGAAGGACTGCATGCTGTGCCCCAACCTTGTCCTTTCCTGGGAGCATTCTGTGGAGTGTGAATAACAATTTGATTGCTTGTCCTCAACCCACCCCAACCTATGAGTGACCTCCCATGTGGTCACCACACAACTGTCATACTGAAAATTTGAGGGTGTGGGAAGTGTTGAGCACAGAAATACGTTCTGGCCAGTTCCACATTCGTGATCAGTTCAGGCCTGGTGTTGTCAGTTTATACGCATGAAATCTCTGGGAGGATGCCTAGGATTTCCTGAATGAGCTTGTTTCTCATTCCTGTTTCCTTAAAAAGTTGTTTTTTTTTTTTTCTTTTTTTCTTGGAAGGCTGAGTGAGGGAAGCCCAGACCTGCTAAAGAAGAGATGTTGCAGGAGACTCTGCTCCCAGAATGTTGTTCCATGGTTCGCATGGCATGACTGCAGGAAAGATATAGCCCCATCTGTCATAAGTCCCTATCAGCAAGTAATAATAGCTACTGTGTTCTTTTGTTTTTAGTCCATGTAAGCTTTGGCAGTCTGGAAACTTGTTTCAGTTTTCTCCTACCTTCTTGCTACCTAGTATACATCACTAGCATGTTTGTAAGGCAAGCTGCGGTGGTAATCTGTAGCTGAACTTGACTGACATGAGTGAACACTCTTCAGATTGTGTCTGAAGCAGCAATGGACAAAAAAAAAAATTGCCCCTCCCCAGTATCTCATGCAAATTGGTCTTGCAGCAGCGTGAGCAGCAGCATCCCATTTAAGATATGAGTGCGTTGAGTCACCCTATAAAGGGCTTACAGTGCAGAAACAGTGATAGCATGTGTAGGCTACATTAGTATTAGTAGAGTATTTACATAATGTAGCATATACATTGAACTTTGTATCTTTTAAGTAAGATATGAACACTGGTTACTAAGCCAACAAGCACTTCAGAAAGTGTTAATGTTTTTGAGCCCTTAATTCAGGAGTTGCCCAAACCTAATTGGTGTATGATGCTATACATAAGCATGGACGTCATACAGGTTCTGAAGGATTAAACTATTTCAAAAAAGCTTGGTGACACTTAACTCTACCAGCCTCTCTGAAGTCAGTAAGAGAAAGTCAGGAATTGGTGTGTGAATAAAACTTGGGGAAAAAACAAAAACAAAAACAAACCCTAACAAACAAAAACAACAACAAAAGAAAAACCATCAAAATATTGAGAAGCAAACTGAAATGCTGAACTTGTTAACCAGTTTTAGAAGTGTTCTAACTTCCCTTGACTCATGCAAGTGTTTTAAGTAGTTGTACTAATGCTCATCTGTGGCCTCAGATGACCGAATGCTTTGTAGTAAGATGTCAGGCATCACACCTGGCATGGACGTAGAGGTACTTCTGTGAAGTCTTCTCAACTTTTCCTTCATCTGTCCAGCAGGAATGCTGTAAAATGTTTTAGTCTGTCTAACTGATGAGTGCAGTAGAGGATTTCTCATTGTGTAGAGAAGAAATATGTTTACACCCATAATCACGACCCATAGGATACAACCTGACTATCTGAACTGCTGAAGTCTTATCCTTTGTGAAGGCTGTGTTAGCACATGGCATTGAATTGGCTCTAGCAGTCAGGTTAAGAGAAGAAGGATTCTGTTTAAATGACAGTGTAATGAAGAAACTACAGCACTGAACTGCAGAATTACTGGCAAAAAAAGTTTAAGGAATATGATGCAAGTCTTGTGCAAAGTAGCAGGTTTTTTTTTCCTTGTGTTCTTGTTTGAATGCAGCTGCATATTTTGTTGTTGTAGCTGACATGTGAAGCGCAAAATTTGTGCCTATCCTTGGCTGTTATTGGTAATGCTTCTCAAGCAATTGTTTATGGCAGCCACAGAAATATTTGACTGCTACCTGACTGAGGGGGGATTGTTTGAAAAATGATCTGTGCTGTGAATATATTAAAGACTCCAGGAAACGGAGTTATGTGAACCATGCAACTATTTTAGCCATCTGTAGCTGCAGTATCTCAGTAGCTGACTTTTGCCATGAAATTAGGTTTGTGTGAATATGGAGGGTGTCAAGCATTTGGAAGTATTCCCATGGGCTCTTTGGTTTTCTGTCCTTATTGTGATGAACTTGCATTTGTGTGTTGTCACTTTTACAAGCCCCTTTTCTGCCAGCTCCACTCTGCTTCAGCTGCTGTGTTCCCTTTCAGGAGAGGAAGAGTTGATTGAGCAAGATGAGAAGGTGACTCTTCTGGAGGAAATGCTACAGACAGTTCAGTTCTATTGAGGATAACACTTCTTTGATATGCTACCATTTAGAGTGTCACAGTTCGAGACTTCTTGAAAGAAGATAGCAGTGAGTACTTTCTTAGACTTTCCGGATGTATCCAAGTCTTTGCAGCATGAGCACCAATAAAATGAAGATATTGGGAATTATTCCTTTCTTAAAAGGTAGCCTTTCATCTTTAGAAAGGCCACCCTTCCCCCATACGTGGTAGAAACAGAAGGTAGAGAGGAGGCATGGGTGCAGGAATCATTAAAGTGAAATGTGAGTCATGTTCATTAAAGGCAAGCTAGCAGAATGTCTGATATTAGTGGCTGTGTAATGATTAGAGCTTCCTGTAATAATGATGATGGCGATTCAACTATATGAATTGAACATTCATTCTAAGTTAATTCACATCCTTTTAACTAATAAGTTACTTAAGGGAACAAAAAAAGAAGCCTTTTTTTAGCTGGCAATTTGAATAGACTGGAATAACACTGAGATAGCAATCCTCCCTCTGCAGTAGAGGGATTTGAACACTAATTTGTGTCTGAACTTTACACTGAAGGTATAGTTGTATTTGTTTATCAATCATTGATCTCTGCTAAATCAGAAACCTTCTTCACTACTAGTATGTTCCCAGTCAAGATTATAATAAAGAATCTTGCTCTAGTGTGAAATTACTTAAAAAGAACTACAATTTTTTGCATTCTGTGGCATGGCAGGAAGATGAGTGATTTGTTGTTTGCCATATAATTATTTACCATCTCAATTTTGAACAAGAAACCATGGTCTACAAATATTACTCATCTATGAGATGCGAAGAAGGATTGTTTCTTGTATCCAGGAAAGATAAACTTTGAATAGTGAGGTGTAAAGGAGAGCAAAATGGTTTAAGCCAAACAGTGAAGGAAAGCTTTGGGAGTAGTAACTTTGCAGTAGTCCCTCAGCAAGGAGGAAAACTTGTGGTTAAAGCTGTTTAAAGGTAGCCTGGATGGGGGGGATGTGGAGGGGAAGCAGATAAAGTGCCCTAATGAATGGGTGAGTGGATGCACTATGATAATCAGTCTCTTGTGCTTGTAGTTTTGCTCATTCTGGAGATCTGGACCCATTAGTAAATTGAAGACCTTAGAAGCTGTTCCACTCTTGTCAACATCTGGATGTTTGCAATTTCACCTGAACAACTTAAGGAAGTTAATAAAGTGAGTGTTCTCATCAGTTTATAAAATGCTTAGTTGGCATAGGTATGTCAAAGAAAATAGTGTAATTAAACATAAGCACTGTACAGAAAACTGTGGTGTTTGAGCATTGTAAACTTCTCAGATGCAACAATTGAGTTAGCATTATAATTTTCCATTTTAGTATTACATGTATTAAAGTACTACTTGCACTGCTGTACACAACAAGACTACTCATCAAAACCTTGGCTCTAGACACTGCTGAAATTTGGAGGAATTCCAAATTATGTTGTGAAGTGAGAGGTTCAAACTGAACTTCAGATTAATATAATTTGGCATGAATCTGGATGATAGATTCTAACGCCTTCGTACATTCAAGTTGATTCATTTAGGTTCTAGTATTTGAAAGCATTTTCAGATTTATTTGTGAAGAACTGTGAAACTGCAGGAATTGTGAAGAACTTTCCATAAATTATCCCTCAGGTTGTTGTCTTGTTTTTGACATTCAGTCTTAACTGCAAAGCTCTGTCAGTTTCTCTGTTCTGCTGGAATCATTGCATGTATTTGTTGCATTGTGTGTTAATCGTGTGAAAATGAATATACTGTTATTTGAGATGTAATTCTGACTGGTTGGAAGAATGATTCTTTTTGGATGTTAACATTCTTGAGGAGGAGAGTTGAGGAGGGCTTGCTGGTGAGTGGTTTTTTCTGGTGCTCTGCAGGCTTAAGGAGCTGTCCAGTATTGTTTTCTGGGTGAAATTTGCAATTTTTTTTTTTTTTTTTTTTTTTTCTTTATGATGAGAACTTTCTTGGTTTTCAATGGACGAGGTTTGGTTCTTCAGAAGTGCAAGAAGTTGTCCTTATTGCATTAAAAGACCCTCTGGGATAGTGGTATTGGAATACACTCAAGATCAAGCTAGGACAACTTTTTAGTTCTTTGTTCATCTGTGTCAGTTAAAAAACCTTTTTTAAAAATTATTATATGGAATATGAGATTCCCACTTCAGAGTATAACTCATTTGGAATCATCTGAGAGAAAAAGTCACTTGAAATTTCCTTAAGCAAGAAAACATCACAGAATCATAGAATGGCCCGGGTTGAAAAGGACCATGATGACCATCAAGTTTCAACCCCCCTGCTATGTGCAGGGTCACCAGTCACTAGACCAGGCTGCCCAGAGCCACATCCAGCCTGGCTTTGAATGCCTTCAGGGCATCCACAACCTCCTTGGGCAACCTGTTCCAGTGTGTCACCACTCCCTGAGTGAAAAATTTCCTCCTAATTTCTAACCTAAACCTCCCCTGTCTCAGTTTAAAACCATTCCCCCTTATCCTATCACTGTCCACCACATGAACAGCCATTCCCCCTCCTGTTTATACGCTCCCTTCAAGAACTGGAAAGCCACAATGAGGTCTCCCTGGAGCCTTTTCTTCTCCAGGCTAAACAAGCCCAGTTCCCTCAATCTTTCCTCATAGGAGAGCTCTCTGAATGCTCCAGCCCTCTGATCATCTTAGTGGCCTTCCTCTGGACCCACTCCAAGAGCTCCACGTCCTTCCTGTACTGGGGGCCCCAGGCCTGGATGCAGTACTGCAGATGGAGCCTCACAAGAGCTGAGTAGAGGGAGACAATCACCTTCTCCCTGCTGGCCACCCCTTTTTTAATGCAGCCTGAAACAACACTCTAAAGAAGACACTGCTTATCAACAGCAAGTGATTTTGAGTCAGAGGCCTTTGAAAGAAGAACTTTTCCTTTTAGATCTTTAAATAAATTTTGTTCACCTGAGTTGACCACAGACTGTGTCTCTATAACAGTTTTTGCATAGCTACTGCCATAATTTCTGTTCAAATACTAATTTTATTGAATTTAAATTGATCATCTGAGTGGATTGCATATGTTTAGACATGAGTTTGGAAGACACAATGTACTGGACCGAGGGCTCAGCACAGTTTATAATCTTGATGTAAAATCTGGCAGACTTCCTAACTTGTGGATGAGCGGTAGAGTCTAAGTTGTACTTTGTGAAGTGCAAAGATCTCGTAGCGTGCTGAGCAGTTTTGAATTTCTTGTGAGGCTTACCTCTTCTGATTTTAAGCCATGCCACTTCCCTCAGAAGTTTAGTGTGCTTTCAAATTCTTCACTCGTGGCAAGACCCATAGTTATTGCGGACCATGACAGAAAACATTGAAGAATACCGAGTATTCCACTCCAAATCATAAATGAATTTTTGAATATGTGGCAAGGCTGACATATGTGTTGCCTAGAGCTTTCCTGTTTCCATGGAAGATAGTTGGATGTTAGAAATGTGTTTGTATTCAGAATTAAAATGGTCAAAAATAATATTCATGGACTGTAATTAGTGATCTTTTTTGGTTTATTTTTTTTCTTTTGCCAACAAATACTATGTTCTGATAAAGTTGCAGTTTGATTAACCTTACTTTTAGTGGTATTCAGAAACCTGTCTTCTGCAGAAGGTGATTATATCTATTGTCTCACTACAGTGATGTAACCATTGGTGTTTGCTATTATCTTTTCATACTGAATATGAAAACTGCATTCAGCTTTACTGTGAAATTCACAAAGAACTAGCTTTTGGGCAATTTGTAAAAGAGCTTTTTATCCTTCCAATCTGGTCATCCAGTCATCCACATTTTAGCTCCAAGGGGAATCACTTGAAAAAAGCTTATTTCCTTTTCCTCTACTGCCTCTCCCAATACTCTCCTTTCCTTTTACCTCCTTCTCTTAACCTCATCTAGATACCTATTAGCTTGCTCTTTCAATAACACTGCTCTGGCTTCCATGAAAGTGCTTTTTAATGTAGGAGATGTACTTCAGCCATAACACCAGGGTCACTTTCTGAGTAACATTTTATGGGATTGATTAAACTTTAACACCATAACTGTTGACTTTATAGGCCAAGAAAGAGACTCTGAGTGCTAAGCTCTGGATAATTTGTGCTTCACAATTTTTTAAAATCAAATAGATATAAGTGTTTAATGTGTTTGATAAAGTAGCCCTCTTTTTTTTCCCTGTGTCTCCTATTTTAAAAGACCCCCAACATTTAACATGAAATAAAGTCTTTAACACTAATGAAGTAAAGTTATAGTAAATAACAGTATAAAAAAAAAAAAAAAAAAAGGTGTACAGCCCTATGAAAAGAGAAAGGATATAATTTGCCTGGCTCCAAATGTGAGTGCATCATAGAAAGTGAATGAAGGGGTGCTGTTAGTTGAGGGTTGAGGTTGCAAAAATGCATCTTTGTTTTTTTTTCTCTCTGGGAATTCTCTTGCCTCCTAAATTGCTTTTTGCACAGGCCTTACTGCTGATAAATTGCTGGACAGGAACACATCTGTCCATGCACCAGGTAGAAAGATGAGTGTAAAGAAGTGTTTGATGGAAGAGTGTGACTGAGGACCAGAGGAGAGTTCTCATGTTGGTTGCAGTCTCCCATGTCTCTAAGCTGTCACCTGTGACCTCATAACCTCACGTGGCAAGTGGCTATCCAGGATCTGGTTCTTCCCTTTTGCCTGTGGGAAACTCCTCTGGCTTTTGTCGTGCTTTTCCCTATTACACTGGTTCTTTGGCTCAGCATAGGGGGAGCGGTGTTGCGTTGGTTTGTGATGCTGAATGAGTAAAATCCAATGCATGGTAGACAAAACCAAAAATCCTGGGGACATATCCAAGCTGTTAGGATATGCTGCATCTTCTAAGAATGACTCCTCAGAGCACCTTTCTACTCTACTCAGAGGAAACTTGCATCTGGGAAAATTATGTGCAGATAGGTATTATGAACATGAACTTCCAGTGGGGTTTCCAGTTCTCAGAGTGTAAATGATAATTAAAAGCTCTTGATGAATCCCCCGGAGCGTTCAGCCTGTATTATGGTAAAACCCAGGCATTTTCAAGGTGTGAGAGACCTTCCTAGTGGGATAAGATGACTTGGTGTGACCACTGAGTGCAGTTATGGCCTGGCATCAGCAAATTTGCTGATGAAGTCATGGTAAGATTGTTGTTTTAGAAAATCAATAGTGTGGTTAATAGTCTTGTCCTAACATTTCTTGGGAAGGGTAATTGTACAGTTGAAAAAGGAGCCAAATTTTAAAAGCCCTGTGGCTTACCGTTTGAGTTGAAACATTCCTAAATGGAATGGAAAACCAGATTATGCTTCTATTGCTAGCATCCAGAAAAACTTCACCTACTTTATCATCTCAGCCAGTTTTCCCTGCTGAGGCATGAAGAAGTCATGTAGACGAGCACTATGGCTTGACTGAATGCACAATAAACCTGGCCTCTGAGGAAGTCAAATATCCTGAGAGCTGCTGGAAAAATCTGGAATTGCCAGTAGCCCCAACAGATGTGCATCTCCTACTGCTCTTCTTAACAGACTCTCATAGTGCAGAGGGGTAGAGAGAGCAGTGAGCTAAAGGCAGATATTGAGGACTGCCTGAAACCGTTATTTCATCAAAAGTTCAGCAGTGCTGTTAAGATGGATTGGATGTTGCAAGAGGCAGTCAGTGCTCAGGAGATCCCTGAAACAATCATAGAATCAGAGGGTTGGAAGGGACCTCAAGGATCATGAATCTCCAACCCCCCTGCCACAGGCAGGGCCAATAACCTCCACAATTAATACTAGACCAGGCTGCTAACTGAGATTAACATCCAGGAGAAAAAGTACTGTCTTGATCTCATGCTGTTTGTCTGGGATTCTGATGCTCGAAGCTGTCAGAGATTGGTGTGGTACTGACTGGATCTTGAGTCTGTTCCTGGGTGCTTATGAAAACCCTGTTCTTAACTAAGATCTAAAATATTTTATTTTCTTTGCTACAGTTAAGCATATGAAATGTAACACACTTTTTTTTGGTTGCTCAAGTTTCCATTTTATCCTGGCTTCTCAGACTTGAAAAAAGAGAAATTGGAAGAGTTTGGGTTTTTTTCCTTCCTTCTTTGATCTTGTTCTTTGCGAAGCTGGACATCCATAGCCTGTGGACTACTTCTGTGCACAAGGAACTTCATATTCATAAGCCAAAACTCCATATTTTTTTAAGATTAAGGAACACGGGCCAAGATCAGGTGAAATTAAATAATAATAATAAAAAAAGAATAAAGAAAATCTCCTTAAAAATGCAAAGTCTGTACTTTCTTTGGATGATTGTGCTTTCTCAGCTGTGGTAACTGAAGCGTTGTTATTTCTGCACATAGACTGAATCCAGGAAAGTTCGGATTGCCCATGGAAGAGAGAATGGATCTTGATCTATGTTCCCTAGATGGATTTCACAACTAAGTGTAAGGTTGCAAATGTTGGAGCCTTGTGGAGGCTGAAAATTAACTGTATTGGCTGCTTTCTTTTCTACTGTATCTCTATTTTTTATCTTTCTCTTTCACATGGAATTTTTTTTTTTTTATACTAAATTTCTATTTTCCTTTCCCAACTTTCCTAGTGCCTTTCCCTCTGTTTTCATTCTCTGTCTCTTTCTCATAGCTGTTTCTTTTGCCTACTGATACTTCATCATTCTGTCCATTCAACAAAGCAGTCTAGTAAACATGAGGTGTCTTTTCCCTTCCACCTTAATGAGTTGATCTGTATATTCTCCTCGTGTCAAATCCATTTCTTAAATAATTTCTCACTAGCTGTTTCACTCTCTCTCTGAATCTATATAGGATTGTTACTTGCGATTCTCCTTCAGTATTTCCCTTGCTTTTGGGTCCTGTGTCCTTCAGCGTGCCACTTTGGCTGATACATTGAAATCTCAAAAGAGCCTGGCAGGCACTGTTGCTCTCTTCTGATCTTGCCAATTGTAATATTTCTTCTATGCAAGGCACCTCATAATTTGAGTGAGGTCAGGCAGGACCTGAGAGCTGATCCTGTCCTGTCCAATGAATCAGCAGTGTGATTGAAAGAATGTGCGAACCATCACAATGATTTTGTTTGTTCCCGTGCTGGGGACAGGTCTCATTGTCTCTCTCTCTCTCTCTCTTTTTTTCTTCATTTCTGCAGTAATCAATAAAAAGTGAAGAATGCACCGAAGACCAGCACAAGCCTTTTGCACCCTCAACATAGGTCTTGAGCCGGTCCTCTTAACACATAGGAAACAGAAGAAAGAACCTGAAACCAAACCTGGTAGGTAACAGTTTATCACAATCCTGTTTGTTCCTCATTTGGAGTTGCTTTCTACCACTCAGTTCCTGAGAGTTGCTTCGTGCTTGTGGGCACGTAGTTTATCTTTCAGATCTGTAATTAACTGCTTCCTCAGATACAGACACTAGATTGGAAATTGTATGTTACTGTGCATTTACCACTGTTTTGAGACTCTCAAACTAGAGAAAGTGGTATTTTTTATTTGAACAAACTGTGCATTAGTACAGAACTAAGTAGTTTAATAATAGCACATCTACCTGCTGCCACAGTTTCAATAAAATGAGAGCTGCTCTGGACATGGCAGCGGTTATTTTGGCATCAGATAAATTACTGAAGGATTTAAGTCTCACTCATGATCCAAGCCTGAATTTCTCTTTTTGAGCACTCACACTGTAATAAGATTGATTGTAAGGAAAACACAAAATATAGAGAACTTGAATTCTTGAGGAAAACTTGTCTGCACATAGATGCTGTGGAAAGAAAAAGCTTAGGAAGCGCAAATGTGACCATAAAATCGATTGGTAAAACCAGTCTGTGGACACACTGAGTCAAACCAAGTAGAGGAAGATGAAATATGCTCCATGTGTGCACTGTGTGTACTCCTGCGTAGAGCTAAGCTTGCTTTTGTGGGGAGGCTCTTCACCTACAGCCCCAAGGCTGATGTGCTTCTCAAAGCGATCTCTCCTTAAAGGTGAGGCTGCTAACTTTCAATTCTCTTTTCAAATGAGTTTGCATGTGAAATCTGCTGCTTCTATTGAACTTAAAACACTTCAGAAATTAATGTAGCCTGATTTTCTAGAAAACTTGAATGGAGACCCGTTTAGATACTGTATGGAATACTCTTTGGAATTTCAAGCCTTTTCCATATATCTCTTCATACTCTGAATATTTTCTTTCCACCTAAAATAAACCAGGCATGTTAGTAGCCCTGACATGATTTAGGCCCACTACAGCTCTTCACTGCATGTGGGCCTTGGGGCATAGGAAGTCTGGGTCCCGTTCCAACAGGAGCAGATGTGGTCTGCTCTTCCTTCTTGTTGTGTATTTACCAAGGAAAAAATATATTTTGTCCATAGACTGTCCAAATGGATTCTTAAATCCAATGTGTGTTATCCTTGCTGATGTGAGTGGCACCTCCAGGGACAGCAGCCTTGCCCTGGGGAAGATGTTATCCAGGCAGTGTGGTTGTGGAAATCTAGCCATGACACATTAGCAACGCAAAGCACTTTTAATTCATACCATAAGTTTTAGCACACTTCTCTCTCTTGAGGACAGTGCCAAAGCAGGCATTAATCAGCTTTACTCTAGAAATTAGAATAGAAACTTGCTTGTAAATTACGACCATTACATTTCCGGCTTAAATTTCCCTACTCCTTTAAGCTAATGTTCTAAAAGACTAACCCTACCACTCTGGCAAGAGCTGTGTCTTGCCTTTATATCCATTTGGCACCCTCTTGCTTTCTTTTTTTTTTTTTTTTTAAGCTGAAGAATTACATTATCTCTGTGAAATAACTTTCCTTCTTTAGTTGTTCAATTTGATTCAAGGATTTTTGATTAAGCGTTCAGGGGTTATGAATAAATAAGAACCAGCAGCCCAGTAATTGGTATATCATTACTCCCCAGTAGCACATTTAATCCTCAGCTTCGCTGCACCACGTAACCTTTTCCTTCAGTTCTCCGCCTCCTCCTCAATATAGCTTACAAAAAAAGGAGGTGAAAAAAAAAAAAAGCAATGTCACTGCAAGCTTCACAAGTTAGCATTAAAATGAATACTTTTTAATTTCTCTGGATGAGATGGGGCCCTGTGCTCTGGGACAATGCTGATGGATGACATTTTAATGCAGCTGAAATGTTATTTTTACTGAACCAGGGAAAACTATAAATTTTGCTTCATTGCCACTGATGGCTCTATGCATAAAACTATGGTGGCGCCCATTGCCCATGAATAATCACCTCAGCATGGCAGATGTTACTTCGCAGAGAAAGCAATTCTTATGCCGAAGAATTGTGGAAAGATTAATTGTCTACAGCTGTTTCATGGCCCACAGCAATCTTGATACATTTATGATAAGTTTAAGAGCTCACTAGAGGCAGCTCCTATTCCCTGTTGTGAGTGAGGGGAAGGGGGGAGCGAATGGCTTTCTTCTGACACCTGGATTCATAGAATCTGTCAGCTCCATTACGGCCTTCATAGAAAGCTGCCTGTTGGCAGGTTTGGGATGATTGTGAGTGGGCTAAGATGCAGGAATTATCTAGACATAGATAAAGAAAAGGAGACTGAGAAGAATTATTCAAATTTGTGCAAATGAATTGCTTCCATTTTTCCTCCCTCTGCCAAGTGGAAATTGAACGTAACCTGCTCTGACCTTTCTCTATTAAGTGCTGCAAATTGCAGTAAATGCATAGTTCTGAGTGCCCTAATGAGACAAAGCTCTAGCAATGCCTCATTAATAAGGGAAGTTTGACCTTGCTGGTCAGCCCTTCATTCGATATTGAAAAGAAATAGGAAAAAAGAAGAGATGACCTGCTGTAAATTTTGAACAATACCTTTGATTTAGTTTGTATATACTCCCAAGCAGACACTTCAACCTTTTTTTCCCTTCCGTTTTTTGCTGTACAAGTGAAGGAGGAGTATTTACTTATTGGGTTCTCAGTTAATTCATGACAACTTTGGTGATTTGTGCCAGGGATGCGTGCAGGCAGCCTGAGAAGTTTTCTTTAAAAACGTTTTTAGTATCCTTGTATTGATGAAAGAATATTGATACTCTCCATCCCATACAGACTTGTTCTCCTTTTTCCTTAGTTTGTATCTGTTATCACTGTATCTCAATGCCAGCACGAGTTCACTTGTTACTTGAGAGCAGCACTGCAGGAAAGCTGTGCTCTATCCTTAAACATGTGGCTCCTGGAGCATGCCAGACAGAGATGGGAGAGATTTACTTCTCATCCCAAAAGACAAACTCTCTGATTCTGGTCAGTAAGCTCCTTTTTCAATTTTTAAAGAATTAATAATTTTGTTTATTGTCATATATTTAACTATACTTGTCTTTTATTTACATTCTTTATTTATGTTCATCATTTTAATTATTTTCTGCCACATGTTGAAGTAACCAAAGTTGAGGGCTGAAGGTGTTTTCTCTGCTTGCTAATGCTTGCTTGCACTAGCTGTGTGTTAGACTATGGCAAATAATAAATACATGAATAAGAAGCTGAAGTCTGCTCAGAAATGATTAATAAACTAAAATAATCTCACTAAATTGTCTGAATAACATAGAGATCATCAGTAAATTCTTTCTATCATAGATTTGCAGTGCCTCTGGAAATTGTATCCCCTTTTGGGACACTGCAGTAAAGGGGAGCTGGTGGAGTCTGTGGGTTCCAGGCAACTCTTGCAGTAGCATTCTTAGGTCAGCTTTGGAAGTTTAGCAAAGCATTGAAAACTGTAATCAGTTTTGTAGGCAGAGCTGCAGCTGGATGTGAACTGAACTGCCAGACAGAATGCAATTAAGTGCTTTGCAAGATCAAGACAACAAATGGTTAAATGTTGATTAAGGAATCTAGTTTTGTCCAGCAGCTTTTGAAGGTGTTATCTTGAGGGACTAAGGAGTGAAGTACCATCATTCTCCTGCAGATCATTTTCACAGTACTGTCTTCTAGGGAGGATCACAACAACTATGCTCCTGCTTGGGGCACAAAGCTCATGTCCAGGCAGCTCAGGAAGCAACACTAGCCTTGTTTAGGAGGATGCTAGAGTGTGATTTCCTGTCTGATAGGTTAATTATTATTGTCCACAGACAGAGGTACTTTTCATTGTGCTATGACTATGTTGAGTCGACATGCATCCACTATGTCGTGGATGCTGGTGTTACACGTCCCAAATAAGCAGTATTGGGAAAGTTTTGAAACTTTTGGGGCTCTAAGGGAAGGTCTGACATATTTCATAGTCATAGTGGTGCACTGTGGCAGTCAGAAACACTATAGTCAAATCTTCTTGAAACGATAATCAGAAAAACTGATGTCTGAAACCCCCTTTTATGTTTAAGAATTTGAGAATGATAACAAAAGAAAGATTTCAGGAAATAAAATACGTGTTATAATGCTTTTGTAATCAAGAGCAGAGTTATGCTTCTTTATGTGGGTGTCCTCA